GGGGGAAGGCCCCACTCCAAGGGCAATTTTAGGGATGACTTTTGGCAAGGTGCTAAGCAGCAGCAGGCTGGATCGGAGACAGGCTGTGTTTCCTCAGGGGGGTGGAGGACACAAAGGGAGACGTGGTTTTGCAGGGAGTCACAGGGTGACCCTGCCCTGGCTCCCAGCCCCTGGGCCACCGCGTGTCCCAGTCCCACTGAGAGGCTGAGTCCCAGCCTCCGCTCTAGCAGAGCTGCCCGAGCCATGCTGGTGTGCTGGCAGGCTCGTTACAGCAGGTCTGCTTTTAATTAAGCGAGACGCTGCTTTTGTACAGCTGAACCCCTCAGGAGTTTGAGTACGGAGCCTTTGCCCCTGCGGCTGGGCTCCTGCTGCCTCCCCCCACGTGGCGGGCGGTCGGCGAAGGGAGCTGGGGCCAGGGGCTTTGGGAGCACATGCCGGGGTGGCACGTCCCACCCGTGCAGGGTGCTGGCTGTGTCCCCAGCACGGGAGGGCACAGTGTGGGCTGTGCCATGCCCTGCAGCGGGTGTTTGGTCTCCTTGGGACCGAACGCAAAGCCCAAGGCTCTTGTCGTGCTGGGCAGATAAGAGTTAATGCCCCAGCAGTTGTGCTGAGCTGGCTTTATTGGCAATAAACCCCGGCTGGAAACAGCTTCCTAATCATTACAGATTACAGGTAGCCCGACCTCCGTGGCTGTCCTTCGGCAACAGCACCTCTGCCCTGCTCCTCTGACGCCCTCAGCGAACACCCCGGGGGCAGCCCCCCCAGCCCTGCACCCCTCCGCTGTCACGTAGCCCCTGGGCCACCCTCACTGCAGTGCCAGCAGGCCAGACATGTGTCCCCAGCTTGCTCCGGGTGCTCACCGCGAGTGCCAGCCCAGGGCTGAGCCATGGCTGGGCACGAGGAGAGCGAGCCAGAGCCTGCGTGGGTCAAATTGCTGTCCTCGGACATTTGCAAGGCACCATAATGGGGAGCTGGTACCCCTGTGGCACAGCTCTGGCATGGCTGTGCCGGGGGGACAGCTAAGCTGGGGCAGGGGACATGGGAAATCGCTCCTGCTGCACAGGCTGGGAAGGGGAGAAGTTTGTCCCAGTTCCGCTGGGAACGTGTCCCCAGCGCCAGCTGATGGCGTGGCTGCCGCAAATGTTTAATGAACGGGCGCAGAGTCATTTGTCTGGGCTGACCCCCCCAGGAAGTCTGCTCTCCGCAAAACAAACCGGGCTTTTGTTTGACTTGTTTTAAGTAAAACACGTCACCCCTGTAAATCACGGGTCCCCTTCCCCGCCCTGCCCCAGGGGCAGTGGCAAGGCAAAGGCGGGTGCCGGCCTCAGGGCGCTGGCACAAACCCGAGGCACGGGCTCCCTAGGTCTGGGCAGGATCCGGCCCCACTGTGGGGCTGGGTGGGGCTCCATGCCCTGGGTGGGAGCCACGGGGCTGGAGCACCCCTGGTCCCCGCAGTGAGCAGCCATCCCCAACCTGCTCGGACACCTGTGGCGTGCCGCCCCCAGGGAGGTTTGCAGTGCTGGTCCCAAGGGGCTCTTCCCTTTGCACCCCCAGACAACCTGCCTCGCTCCCCCCAAATCCCATCCCGGCTGCCAGGCTGCTTTTGCACCATCCCCATGCTCCCTGCGGGCCGGAGGCCTGGATCCCAGCCCAAGGTCAGCCAGCGGCCGCGGGTCCCTGGCACGAGCGAGGACGGTAGTTTGGGACAGCCAG